GGTGTTGCACCAAAGATGACCACTTCTTGAGTAGGGAGCAATCTGTTACTATAGCTAGAAGATTGGTTGGCAAACAGAAAGCAGAGAGTAGCAGAGAGCAAATTGCAACTAGTGGACCACTACAGGGATTAGTGCTGGAGTGTCAACTATTTACAACCAATATTGAAAACCTGGATGATGGGATGGAATATATATGGTTACTAATTTATGATTCAAAGATAAATGGAAGAGTAGGTGTAAAGAGGACATAAGGATTTTGCAAAGGGATATTGACAGCCTAGTGGATGAGCAAAAAATGAGATGCAGTATAATGTGGAACAGTGTGAACTTGCCTACTTTTGCAGGAAGAATACAAAAGAAGCATATTATTGAAATATGCAGGTACAGTAATTGAGTAAGAAAGCCAATTAAATGTTAGCATATATTGTAAGAGGAATAACTAAATTGCTGTTACGCAAGAATGAGAATATTTCATACCTCAGCCATGTAAATGTGTGAATCCCTTAAATTTAATTAGAAAATTTGATATTTAAAACTTAATCCTATGGCTTATTTACTCTTGGATAATGTATAAAATTGCTTCGACTTGTGGATTGGGAAAGATGATTGTAATTTAGGAAGATCTTAAATTAAATCTTTATGAATAATTGATAATCAATAATTGAATTGCCAAAAACAAATACATTTTACAGAATGGAGCTTGAGAACTATTCAATGTACATCACAGCAAAGGTGATTATAGTAATAAATATTTCATGACAATAATCAGCTTTGAAAGAAAATTGCATTGTTAGTAATATTTGCTGCTTCATGTAATTTGGGAATAGAACTGCATCAAAATTAATAAAATGCGGTGTTACTTTTTAATGGAAGACACCATTTAACAGTAAGGTTGGGAGCACAGAAACAGGACATTTCCAGGCTCTGCAAACCTAATCAAAAAAAAGTCATGCAGGAGGGGAGATCCCATTTCAGGGTGCTGGGGTTTCTTGGATATCAGGTTCGACGACCCAGAATGAGAGTGAAGGTTGCTGGCAACAGAAACAGACCCGCCTCTCTGCACCAACTCAATAAAATAGTGAAAGCAAAAATTCCTTCGGCCCTCATCTCTCACACCTCCTACAGCCTCTCTCACACTTTCATGCCCCATTCGTGCTAACCCTATACCTCTTCATACCGACAATGCCATCCTATGACCCTCAAACAACAAACCTTCCCAGGTCCTCCATCTCCCCTATACCACCTATGCCCATCTAGCCACCCCACGGCCACTCTTCCTTCTTCAAACTCAATGCCTGACTAGCCACCTTTCACAGTCCTTACACTAACCTACAGTCCAATACTCACCAATTTGGCTTTTTATAGCCCCTATGATAACCTGAGAACCTGTACTCATCACCCCTTATGACCTCTGTGCATAGTGCCAACACATATCCCCACATACCACCCTTTGCCTTCCCACTCAATATGGACAAACCTCAGAAGCCATGCTGGCATAAAATAAAGTTATGCATCAAATGATGACTTTACACAGAAGCCGGTATCCCATCATCAAATCACCGTTTATTTACATGTGCACAGTAGATGCTCTGACCAGCTGCATCAGAACCAGTCCCTAGAATGGGGAGAATCTCTGAATCTCCTGTTTATTTCAGTCAGCCAGGGCTTCCTGATTGGGGTTGTTAACCTGGGCCAATCAAGGATCTCAAAGTCAATGAGAACCATCTGGCTCTTGTTCTGATCACTACACTGTGTAAATATAAAAACCACTAATTGTTGAAAAAGTCTTTACTTTGAAATCCCTTCAACCAACCTCATAGAGAAACAAACATTTGCATTCTAAGATGTTTGATAGTTTTGACATTTGTGTAACAGCTTTGACACTTCCAATGGGTTATTTTAGGCATGTATTTGCCTCCTTTATGCAATCTCAAAGCGTATCTGAACCACATCCCCAGGACATTTAAGAACATTAACCCCCAACCCCCAACAAAGATATCTGACCCCACAAGGGCACCTCTCACCTTAGGACCATATTTGTAGGGTGCTTCACCTCCCAAAAGAGTACGCTGACTATCCAAAATAAATTTGTTGAAAGAGGCCTTGTTGACTCTGCACATTCTGTGTTTCAGACAGCAGAGATGCCAAAGTTTAGAGCAAAAGGTCAGCTATCTCCAGGAACGACATATTTGGAGCCCAGAGCATCCAAAAGAAATGCAAGCGCAACTTATAGCCTCCACGAGCAACAATAATGCTAAAAATGCCTATCTGTCATAATGAGAATTTGGGTCTCAATGTTTAGGTCATAAAGGAATGATGCATTATATTGTAACTTTAGCATTGTTGAAGGAACTCACAGCAGCAATAGACTGACAGTAAAGTCTGATTCAGAAAATTAATTACCAAATTACATCTGTACGTGAGATCATTCAATTTTAAAATGTTTTCCCACTATTGGTGACAGGTGCACAATAAATGGGAAGAGCTGTAGTTTTAAATGGCTATAGTGCATTTTTAATAAAATTGATATATCTAGCACACTGTTCTGGAGACATCTAAGTGTCCTGTCTCTTCAAAAAGAGGCTCCGTGCGAAAGAACCAATCTGAGGTAGGTGGCAATTTTTGGAAACCAACTCACTGTGTAGCAAGCATAGCTGAAGATTACCACTCGAGTAAAATTAATATCCTATGTCTATAATTCAAAGCAGCAAACGCCAATAAACGCCAATAAAAGTATTCCCTGGAATGAGGAGAGTGCAAAGGGAGATTTAGCTAAAGTGTGTCCATTAGAAAGGAATTCTTGCATTACAAGTGAACCAAGAATTGAATCCTCCACATTTATGCGTCATCTACAACGTAGCCTTGAAGTAATTTTTGGCTTATCATATATGAAAGATAAGTTCAAAAATTGCACGACACCAGGCTATAGTCCAACAGGATTATTTGAAGACACAAGCTTTCGGAGTCTCACCCCTTTTGAGTGAGACTCTGAAAGCTTGTTTCTTTAAATAAACCTGTAGGACTATAACCTGGTGTTGTACGATTTTTGACCTTGTCTACCCCAGTCCAACACTGGCATCTCCACATTATGTAAAAGATAGTTATACTCAGTTACTCTGCTTATACAGCTATTTTTCTGAACCTTCATGTTTGTTGAACTTTTCTGCATTTGCAATTAAATTAGTCAATTGCCTACCCCATGACAAAGGACAATAAAGGCAACCTTCAGGTTGTACTGCTATGCATTTCTATAACATGTTGTCAGAGCAACAAATAAAATAGCATTCTGTTGCTGGTTCAGTTATTTCCAGAAGTATAGTTTGGTAATGAATGCCTGATGTAACGTCTCTCAAAATATGGTCATCCATAATCTAGAAAATATAGCTTGAAGTTTTACCTCACTCTCCAAGAACTGGAATCTTCAGAAAAATGTGAGAACATGGAAAAACCAGATTTTTCCCACATGCTGTTTTAACTCACTTCATATGTTGGATGACTGATTGAGAGACTTGCTGCCAGTCATAGGGGAGTTGATTATTGAAGGCTGAAGGAGAAGACAGGTATACACTGGGGAATAAGGCCTGGAAATTTTAGGAGGTTTGGAGCAAGGCACTGATTGGCGTTTGGTATGGTTTGGGAGAGGGGCTAAACCGTATGAAAGTGAGAAAGTGGAGATAATTGGGCAAAGGGGAAAGGGGGTCAACTGGGGAAGCCTGAGCTTGCTTTCTTTGGGGAGAAGTGGGGTTCAATCTGGGTGAATGGTGAAGATTGGTGATGTTGATCCTGGAACAAAGATGGGGATCAATGGGAGGATATGCTGATTGGGAGCATCAAAGGCTTAAAGAGATGAGAATAGGAGAGCAGGATCAGAGGACTTGAGTGATTGAAGGTAGGTCATGGGGTTGATCAAAAGATACAATGTAGGAGTTCCATGGAGTTGGTGGCTTTGCAGTAAAGCTAGAGGCCTTGTAGGAGCAGAAAGTAGGGGTGGGAAGAGAGTCCTCATAGTAAAGATTGGGCTCCAAACCCAATGTGGGATGGAGAAGAGACTGGTGGCATATCTAATCATGGGGGCACACTCAATCCAGAAGATACATGAAAATGCAACTCTGTCCTTGATCTTCTCTGGATGTAGAGTCCTTGATAAAACCTAGTGACCTACCATTAAAGTTGGAAAGCTAAACAGTAATAATGCTTGATGAAATGTGGAGCTGGAGTAGCACAAAAGGTCAGACAGCATCAGAGGAGCAGGAAAGTTGACGTTTCTGGTCAGGACCCTTTAACAGTCCTGATGAAGGGCCCCAACACGAAATGTCGACTTACCTGCTCCTCTGATGCTGTCTGACTTGCTGTTCTCCTCCAGCTGCACATTTTATCCACTCTGGCTTCCAGCATCTGCAGTCCTTCTTATCTCCTAGTCAATAATAAAGCTCATAGCATCATTGCAATTTTTAAAGTGTCAGCATGGAGGAACATGTAGCAGTGCTGGAAAAAGGTTAATGGCCTTCTGCACCCCACAAATGTAAGTGTCACCATCTGTCTGCTATCTCACACTCACTCTTATTCTGCTACTGCAACCACCTTCCACCAAGGCTTATGATCTATCACTGCTATTGTTGCATGCAACATCTTCCTTGAATGGTTTTGCCTACCTATTCCCTCAAAGGGCCATTCTCAAGGACAGCTATAGATGGATAATAAATGCTGGCCAGCCAGTGATGCCCACATCCCATGAATGAATAAATTAAAAAAAATACACCTCCTTAGAGCAGTCATTCACTTATCCACCTGCCCCCTCAGTTAAAATGGAAGTAGATGATTTGGAGATGGGCCACATCAGATCTTTATTTGATTTTTCAAGATTTTACACACAATGCTAATTACTAAACTCAAATTCGCTATGTGTTTTCTAAAATAAAACCCTTCAGCTTCAGAAAGTATGCTAATGATAAACCTGAAACAAAATCAGTCTCTTGTTATGGTCAGATCCTGGGTTGTACCTGTTATAGCATGGTGTGAAAAAGCTTCCACATAGGTGAGATAATTATGTGGACAATGCTTCTTTAACCATTTGCAAACATCTTGCTGGGTCCACAGTACCACAGGTTTAGTGTGCCTTGTAAACGTAGGACTTGTGTGAAAACTAAAGTATCCATCATTGGATCCGATCTGTAAAATAAAATGAAATACACTAAATTATTCCAGATAAATTATCCTATGGTTTAAAGTATCCCACATAAATGAGGTAAATATTGTATGATCCTACTCCAGGCAGAGCCTTGCTGGTCAGATTTAGCGTGGAGTACTGAGATTGGAGCTCTGCACTTCAAATCTTACAGTGATTACAATCAGGAACATCAAAAATCATACAGAGGGTGGTTTGCTCCCTATGCCTCATATTTCTACCCTCTACCATCCTGTTGTTGGTAATGCCAGGGAAAATGGGAAAACATAGGAGAAAAATTACATTCAATATTAAAATACTGCAGCAGACTAATGGAGTTAGATTGCACGTTGATTTCACCTATCATTTATACACAAGTTTTTTGACCTTCAGAGACTAAAATACATGCTTTGGCTGATAATTTTTCTTTAGCAATATGCATTTTAATATACATTTTACTGATAATGAAAATTGGAACACTAAATCAAACTTCATATTTTCAACACCTATCTTCACATTATAGTGATGCAATCCTTTTGACAATTCAAACCACAGCAGTGTAGAATGTGTTTTCACTATTCTTTTTATTTACCAATAATTTCATTTGGTGCGCCAACCCGCCACAGAAATTCACTCGATCATCTTCCTCCCCCTTAGTGAAATGTAAATAAGTCGTTAGTTCTATCATATTTCTGCACTAAGTGCATCAGTTATGCAATAAAACAATGCTAGCAGGTAAAAATTTTGACAGGTGAGACACACACATTATACATGAACTTACAAATTAATTTTCCAAAATTGAACGGAAACGCCTCTACTGTCAGACATTTAGTTTGAAAGAATACAGTAATCTATTTTTATTTTAACAAAGTACAAATCTCACAAATGCCTATCTGTGTAAAGACTATTGCGTACTTTTTTAGGCAACTTGAGTGAAGATAGTCAAGTTACCTTGTTATAAAACAGGAAGTGTTGGAGAAACTCAACAGGTGTAGCAGCATCAGTGGAGAAAGAGAGAGGGTTAAATTTGGTTAAGTGTCAGTTTTGGATAGTTTCATGGAAAATTTCTCCCTGTGTGCTCTTGTGAATTTCCTTGCACAATTTTACAGTGCTCAACTCATTAGGTACGTACCATGGGTCCACAACACTGCATGTGTTATCTTTTAGTCGCCAGCGACAGCAGTGCTCTCCTTTGCCGAGGCCTTCTGTGCTTCCTGTCACTGGTAGCATATTTAATGCTCAGCTGTGCACCAGCTCAAATGCTACAAGCTAAGAGTTGGGATTCATAGATCCAGTGCGTGAAGACTTAGACAAGAGATGGCCAACAGAGGAAAACTGGCACATCAGTTTGCCAACAAGTATTTGGAGGTGCTGGTGAATAGGACAGCTGTCCACTTTACTCTGCACTGTTGGAGAATACCACAGCAATAGGTCATGCCAGCCTGGCCCTAAGTTGCCACCTGGATCATTGTGGTATCCATGATCTGGAGGAACATATTGTAGTGCAGGAAAAAGGTTAATGACCTTCTGCACTCCATAAGGGTACATGCCACCATCTTCTCTCTGCTATCTCACACTCACTCTAATTCTACCACCATAATCACCTCCCAGCAAGGCTCATGATCTACCACTCCTATTGTTCCACGCAACATCTTCCTTCAATGGTTCTCACTTATCTATTCCCTGAAACTATTAACCCTTCCTGCCCTCTACAGTTCCTAATAATTCACTCAGGACACTACACCAGCATTCCCTCTAATTTTCTTTCCAGCTGCATGGACCTCTGAGGGTCATGCACGGCACCGGTTTCTGGAATCGGAAGTCAATGCCGTGATCTGTATACCAACACCAATCACCATGCACTACGTCTTCTGTCCTTCACCTGCACCAACACTAACAGCTATGTCAGTCACTTGGATCTCACTCAATCCTGTACATGTGTAATTCCAAAAGAGAACAATATACAATAGATCAGAGAGGGCAAAGATGGGTTTTGTGGAGCCTGACCTTTGTGTACTCACTCCCCACAAGGATCAGAATCCTTGACTTATGGGGCGAGGACTATGAGCAAACATGTAGTGATGCTAAGACCTGCATATCTCAGCAAACAAGTAAGATTCATTAAGTGCTGTGGTTCTCACCCATTACAATCCCTGTGAGCATGCCTTTGTTAAAATGCACAAGCTGATACAGGAACAGCAAACAGATTTGTTGAGACACACGGAATACTGGACTAAAGGTTGGAGGAGTCCACCAATGCCAACTCTACCATATGAGCTCCTGCATGCCTGTGTCTGGCTTTTTCCATGGACCGTTTAGAGCTGCTAAGGAGAGCCAGGACAAATACAACACTTAGCAGCTGTCAATGATGGATGCAGATCTGCACACCATTGCTTTAGCCATTGGTAGTGAACACCAACAGCAAGGTAACAGAGAGATGAGAAATCTTGGTCTCACTCCACGCGCCCCTTCCTCACAGAAAGACAAGGTGGTGCCAATAAGTGCCCATGCAAAGGAGGAACCACATAGAGGCCCTCCAGAAATCTTCTCTCAGACATTCCAGAGATGCCCAGCTCCATAACCTTCACGCTGACTGCAATTTTCAACACTGAGAGAGTTTAAGCCAAGGAGGGTGAGCGGTAGTTGGGCAAGTAACGCTGGGGCAAGTTGTCTCCATTGTAGTGCTGGAGTCTGGGGCTACACCTAGACATAGTGGGAGAAAAAGAAAAAAGACAGCCTAATGAGGGACCATTGGTGGCATGGGTGACAATTGCCTCACTCTTGCCAATGTCATTCAGCTGAGAAAATTCTATCTAGAGATATTGTTTCAAGTTGAATATGAGTTACTTAGAACTCCAAGTGATCTTGTGCAATGGCATATACTAATAAATTGAGACGTTTATATAAAAAAATTAATGTCCTATTACACTTAGTCTATTATTAACAAAATTTTAAAAATAAAAAAACACTAGATTAAGGTGTTAGCGCAAGGAATCCTGTGACAATATTGACAAGTATTGCCTTGTTTATCTCAGCTATTGGGTTGTCACTATTAAAAAATCTGATTCGTAACAAAATTTCCAGAGGTAACAGCTTGTATTTTCTTAAATCACATTTATTCTTTAGGGTGTATGTTTTCCTCCAATATCAAACATGCATTAATTTTCCTGTCAATTTTATTTTATTCTCTCTGTTAATTTCTCACTTGGTTTCCTTCTGGTTTTGCTGTGGCTTTGCCTTTGTCTTCATGAAATGACTACTCTCACCACAGTGATTGCAGGATATCATTTGAAATGCCAATGTATTTCTGAAAACCAGCTAATTCCAAGAAACCATATACAATCCAGAATGAATGTAGAAAAGCTGCAGTAATTTATAAAAAGGACAAAATTGTATTCACATAACACTTTGCTTCCCCCATAAACATCTGAAAGCACTATAATGAAAAAGTAATGTGTCCGCATTTAAAAACTCTGGTATTTTGGACTTAGCAAGTTTGCAAAACAACAAGATGTATGTGCAACTACATAAGGTGACTGGAGGTTAATGGAGAATCACCGGCCAGGATTTGGAGAATTAACTTGAGAAACTTTCAATACTGCTGAACAATCTTTAACCACTTTCTGAACCAGCAAGCAGTGCATCAATATAACCTGATTTAAAAACTGATATCTCCAGCCATGCAGCAACACCTTAACACTGCAATTGAGTATCATCTTAAATTATATTCACTTGGACTGATAAAAGTTGCGAGTCAACACTTTGTGAGTAGCTGCAACGTATGTTTGGGTGGGCAGATTATATTGATTTCAAACGCAGGTGAACCAGGAAATAGAGGAATGTGAAATGCAGAGGGTGCAGTGTGGCTGTCAATAGGGTATTGTGGGAATAGCAGAGGGAATGCCTTGCAAGGAACAATATTTATCTGGAGGCTTCTTTATTTCATCCCACCACCAGCTACCAAGCTCTTAGTCCACTCATAATCCAGTTAAAATTTGACATAAACAACAACCAGAAATTGCTGGAGAAACTCGGCAAATCTGGAAGCGTCTATGTAGAGAATGTAGAGTTAATGTTTTGAGTTCAATGACCCTTCTTTAGAACTAATAGCAGCTAGGAAAAGATGGTATTTATGCTGATGATGGGGGAGAGGGGAGAAAGAAATTAGATGGAGCCCAGAAAGAGAAATAAAAAAGTAGCCAGACAAAAAGATTGCTGGTAGTATGTCAGAAGAGAAGAGAAGCTAGATAGGTAATAATGGGTACTATAATTAGTTGCAAATGGGTTGGCTGTACTGAAAGAAACCCAGTACATGACAGGACCTGGTGTTGTGAGGATAGATAATATACATGGAAGGAGGCAGTCACGCTCTACAATTGTTAATTTCTGAAGACTATAAGATCTGCAAGCAGAAGATGAAGTGCTGTTCGTCCAGTTTGTGTTGAGCCTCACTGGAGCACTGCAGCAGGCCCAGAACAAAAATGTTGGTATGCGAACACCAAAGTTGTGTTGAAATGGTAGGCAAAAGCTTGGGTACAGACAGTATGTAAGTGTTCTACAAAGCAGTCACCCAAACTGTGTTTTCTCTCCCCAGTGTAGAGGAGATTGCATCGTGAGCAGCGAATACAGCAGATTAGATTGCGTGAAGTGCAGGTAAATTGCTGCTTCACCTGGAAGGTGTGATCGGGACTTTGGATAGTGAAGAGGGAGGAGGTAAGTAAGCAAGTATCTGTGATTGCATGGGAAGGTGCCGTGGGGTCTTTAAGGTCATGGTGACATCACAGCACTTATGTAGCAGGAGGTTGTTTCATAGGTAAATGCATACAACATCTGCCAGCAAAACCAAAGAGGCCAATTCAAAAAAATATTGACAGGAACTGAGCAGAAAACAGACATTAAATTTTAACTGCTCATTCTTTCCATCCTCACGAAAAAGAAACAGTTAAAGTCTCTTACTGTATTCATGACCCAAAATGAACATGTCTCTGGACTTTAGTGATGACAT